TGGGCAGGGACGTGGGCCAGCGCCTCAGCCAGGCCTGCCTGTGCTTGCTGGGGTCTGTGCTGTTGGGGTGGTGGGGATCCGGAGGCAACCGCCGCCCCGAAGCAGAGGGATGAGTCCCAGGGCAGGGGACACGCTGCCAAAGAGCTCGTCCCGCTCAGCCTCAGGTCACAGTGTTTGCCTGGAAGCCTGGTGCTGGGTTAGGGGAGGGTCCGTATCTCTGTTGGCATGTGCAGACCTTGTCTTTTCTCTCTTTTTCACCCTCCTCCCCAGATCTTGCAGCGGGTTGAAGACAACACGATCGTCTCGTACGATGTGGCAGCTGGGGCTGCAGGCGGTGTTGTTTCCCCAAGGTCAGTTTATCCCACTCTCTCTTTTACACTGAGCCCCTAAACACCCTCCTGAACCACAGAGAGAAGCATCTGACTGGAGCGAGTGTGTTCAGCCCCAGCTCTGCTGCTCTGTGCTGGCTGGGAGCTCCTGGTGGCGGCAAGGAACTGGGTAATGTTCCCAAAGGCAAAAGGAGCCCCTCAAGTTTCCTCCAGACATTCCTGGCAGGAGTCTCGGAGCTCAAAATCTGTCGCACTCAGTCGGGCTCCTGATCACAGCACTGCACTGGGCTTTGTCCGTGTGTTGCCATACCCCTGCCACAGCCTTTCCCACAGCCTGGAGAGCGGGATTCACTCCTCCCAAGCCCCCATGCACCTTTGGAAGCATTCCTTTCTTTGCTCAGGGATTTCGTGAACGTGCGGCGGATCGAGAGGAGAAGAGACAGGTACATTTCCTCAGGGATATCGACCACGCACAGCCTGAAGCCTCCACTCTCCAAGTATGTCAGGTAAGAGGCAGGTTCTCTTCTTCTTTTAGCTGGTTCCTGACACACGCACTTTGCTTAAGCTCAGGGCAGAGAGCCACTGAAATGAAAACCCTGCTGTCTTCCTGGCAGCGTCTGCAGGAAGCAAAGTCTATTTGTGGAACTCAACCTTGCTTCCCTTGTTCTTCTTCCTTTGTTAAAAGAAACTCTCTGTGCTGTGGAGCGTTGCTCGGGCGTTTCCCAGCTCTCTGCTCAGGGGAGTGGAGGTGGTGACCAAGAGCAGCACAAACCCCATCCCGGTCTGCATCCTGTTTATGTAACAGTTAATTCCCAAACAGGGACAGCTGCCATTCCTGAGGGGCAGTAAACAGCTGACTGTGGCTTGCTTGAGCCTCTCGGATGCCTTTTGCTTCTCGTAAGCCAGGCACTTACTGACTTTAAAGGCTGGGGACGTTCAGAGATGGTCCCGTGGGTGAAACAAGCTGCGTCAGGACGGGCTGGCTCCTGAAGCGGGACAGGTCTTAGGCCTCTCCCCTTCCAAAGGGACAGCTTTTCCTGGCTGGGGATGGATCTCAGTGGGCTTAGTCTCATCAAACAAGGACTCCTTGTTATGCTGCTCCGGTGCCTGGGGCCCAGCTGTGCCACTTCACGCACTGACTTTGTTTTTCCTAATAATCTGGTTAAAGTAATTGACATTTTAACTGGGAGCCGTTGGAGCTGCCTCGGTCTATTTAAGAGCTGGGGACTTCAGGGCCTAGAAAGATCTTCTTTACAAATGTATGCAGCAAAAAATAGCGTGTTCCTGAACTGGGAAGGGAAATCTGTATTTGGGCTCCGTGTGTCGAGCACAGCTCTTGTCTCGGAGACGGATCAGATGGTGCGAGGAAGGATCTGGGGGCTGTGGTGACAAGGCTCCCTGTGCCGAGCCTGTCCCTGACCATGCAGGGTTTCCCTGGCCGCTCAGCTTTCCCGGGACCCCTTCCTTGCACCCACTTCCACGGGGTTATGCCTCGGGAACCTCGCTGGGATGAAGAGCTGGGGCCGGGCTGGCACCGTCTGGAGGCAGAGGCT